TAATTCTCTAATTAATGCACTTTACTTGTTTTAAAATCCTCATCATACTAAAACACGGATATTATAAACGAAGAATGTTCTTTTCAGTGGATTCTTTTCAGATTCCAGAGTTGTATAACAAAGTTTATTATTCAAAAACTGACCAGATTTGAGGCAAAATACATCGTTTTTAATCATAACATGTGAATTTAGGACTATTTGTAGAAAAGGAGGAACCAATTGTTAATATTAAAAATGGCTAACGTGTAATGTTAACTTGGCTACGTCTACACGTTATTGTTTTTATTTTTTTATTTATTTGTATTAAGATTATTTTTATTGTTTCAACAACACTATTAATCTTTGGTACACATAAGTAATCCCACTTTATTATCTTTGATGGAATTCATTTAACTTCTCACACTGAAAATTTGATTTGACTAGTGAGCACGCTACTGTCTCTCTTACGGCATGTTACCATAAATATTCTGATAATTTATCAAACAGATTCATTGATGATCATTAATGAGAAGTTTCAAAGTAGAACGAAAAAGCCATCCAGTGCTTTCAGGTTTCCAATGCTGGTATAACATTGATCGATTCATGATCTCAACCAAAAACTTAAGAATCTCCACAATCCCATACTGAAAATTCATTTTATGTAAAAACTTATTCAAGTTGACATAACATATTAGTCATTTTAACATTGATAATTTTGTTTGACTTTCTGATGAAGAATCCCTAATTCCCATTCTATAGTTTTAAATAATATAATTTGCCTTGAACCTGGTCACTGTTTGAATTATTGATTTAAATACAAAACTGTGAAATCTGAAGAGATTTTATTCAAAACAATTTTCACCGTTCATATATCAGTGGACTGATACATTGAAAAATGTTATCTTCATACTAAGTTGTTTTTATTTATATGTTAACATCTGATCTAATAGATAATTATTCGTTTGGAACATAATATAGAATTTTTATTGAGGGAAATTTTTTTACGTTGACCTGACTTTGTGTGGTTTGTATAGTAATGATAATGACAAATAATTCAATGAAATTTTTATTAGTTCAATTCAGGAGTCGATTGAAGCTAGACCACCATTGAAATCCCGGAAGCCTTGGACGGCCTTTTCGTCCTAGTATGGGACTGCTCAGCAGTGCACATTACCACTGTTGGATGCCGGTCCAATGGTCTAGAGGTTAATTGTTTGCGTGTGAGACTGGAGTTGACTGGCTCGAGTTCCATATGCAGGTTCGTGGATGTGCATTACTGAGGAGTCCCATACTAGAATGAAAAAGCCGTCCAGTGCTTTCAGGTTTTTGATGGTGGTCTAACTTATATCGACTCATGAATTCAACTATTAAAAATTACTGCAATTAATTGTAGTTTAATAAAAGCTAATATTTTTCACATTGAAGGGGTTCATTTTCAACATCTATAAAGTTTTGTGTTACACGATCAGAATGAAAACGGTTAGATGTCCTGTTTTAATCTTATAAGTTTAGCATTTTTCTAATTTATTAAAAACAATCACCGCTAATTGTATAATATTTATAACAATATTACAAATAATTTTTATAAGAGCTTTCATACAATTTTGTAATCTAATTATGGAGTCCTAATAAATAAATTAGATTATATTAGTTATGGTAAAAAGTGGTATCCTTTAAACTTTCAATTGCAAATTAATTTATATATTGGGTATATTTTTATCTACCATTTTATGTGAACATCAAAGAGATATTCATTTTGTAAGTGTATATCTAACATTACAGTTCTATCCCAAAGTAATTCAATAATTAGTACCTTCGAATTAATAATAAATTCATTGTGTACAAAGTAGTCGAGGTATTGTTCCAATTATGTATCCGAAGACAATAATCAAATGATTCTATGAGTGATTGGAAACAAAAAGGTTTCCTTTTCTACTGTCTATGAACGCGAATCGTAATTAGGATTGAGTGAAATTGAAAGCCAGCCATATACATTGTATTCACAATAGTAACAGATGCACTCGAAAGACGTTGGGATAAATATTAGTATAATTTATCGATATATGTACACAGTATATTGACAAACTAAATAATCAGTAAATATGTACAAATGAAGTCTTTCTTACTAGGAAATCGTATATCTGACAAAGTTTACTCAGCTCACTAACTTTAATTTATCGTTCTTCATATGATTTTTAAAAGAACGATTAGTTCTTTATGAATCTGTTAAAACTAACTAACGAACCACTGTTAACAAACTAAAGTCAAAGAGGTAATATCATTAATTGTAAGAAGTTTTGTCAGGTATAAAAAACACAAAGAACTATGATATACAGTTCAAGATTAATTAATTGTTTTGATGAATAAAATACTGTTTTTCTATCTATTCTATAAAATACAATAAATCTTGTAGTACATTACAATTAGATTTACATTACATTTCAGTCCACAATCGTAAAACTTCGAATTCTAAGTGATTCAATAAATAACTAATATAATTGAGATCATAGGTCAATTGAACCTAGACCACCATGGAAAACCTGAAAGCACTAGACGGCCATTTCGTCCCAATGTGGGACTTCTCAGTATTGCAACATCCACGATCCCGCCTCGCGAGATCAGGTTTTCCATGGTGGTCTACCTTCAATTGACTCATGATCTCAACTATATAAAATTACTATAATCTCTACAAAACCCCCTTCTGAAAAGAACTAATATCTTAAAAGAAAGAACAAAACTATTATAGTTTGATTTACATGTAACATTGAAAGTTAGATATTTGTGACTACATGTTCTTTAGAATTTACCAATCAAATCGATCGAGTCATAGAGATTCGAATGTACATATGCTATCGTTTTTTTAAACTAAGTTTTCTCTTTCATCATAGTTATAATGGACAATTAAACAAAAAGTTGAGACTTTTAATTATCTGAATCCATTGTTGATTAGGTCATGAGTTTCGAAAATTATCTACATTTGAAAGTTGTATTATATCTTGATTGATTGTCATGTGTCAAATTTTTCTATCTGTTGAGGTTTCTAACTAACTGCCTAATATATCTAAATACTTTACTTTACTTTAAACTCGAATTTATGCGAATGACGTTTTGTTATATTATCAAGTTTCTCAACAGTTCTTATTAATGATTTCATTTTGTGATCTTGATAAGAATACTAAAGCAACAGATAAAATGCACTTAGTATTGCTTGTTTGAATCTTCCCATTCATGTTTAGGACTGCAACAGGTCAGTCTCTGATTGACATATGTGCATCTAGTGCGTATTGCCTCGATATAGCCTTAATTCACAAGCATGGTAAATAACGATGGATAGTGGAGAGTCCCAAATAGGACGAAAAGCACGTCCTGGATTCCACTGCTAGCCAATATCTATCTTTGCTTACAAGAGATAAAATGATTTAACTTTTTAAAATCATGACCAAACTTTGAATGTAAAAGTTGAACTTGTCATTCTAAAATCATATTCAGCTTGATCTACAGAGGAGTGTTTAATGAATGATACCCAACCGTTCGGGAACATAAGCATATATATAATCGTAGAATGATTATGAAAAATGTATTGGAGTGAAATATTTCGTTGCTCTATTAGTCTTTTTATTTGAATATTAGTTTTGTAAGATGATATTATATATAGAGAGAAAATAAAATGAGCAAGATTAATTGTCCTGAATATTACTACAATATAAAGTAGGCAAAGAAAAAAATTAACAAAAGAACATCAACTAATGTACTTTTATTTTTACCGACTTTTAAGTAGACACAAATAAATGATTAGATAATAATTGTAACATCTGAATCGTTTTTAAAAGGTTGTAATATCAGTTGTCATTAACATTTCCTTTATACTTCGTTGATAACTTTATCCACTTCAAACAGTGTCCCTTCCTCATACCTACGACTTATTTATTTTTTTATCACTGTATAAACTTACAGATTACATAGACGTTTAGCATATACTAATATATTTTCATTTCACTATATGTATGTATAGTAATCTACGTTTATATCCCATTCATTTCAGACAACGGATGATTCGTATTTGTACAGTATTTTAAAAACTTTTAACATTGTTATGTGAACTATAAATCTAACTGAGAACGTTTACATTTTGTACTAAGTTTCCAACTAGGCTGTTGCAGAACACGATTCATAGATTTGTCAATTAGAATTAAGAACTTGAGCTCCAATAATGTTTTACTTCATGCAATTATAAAGTAAAGAAAATATCATTGTGTTTGTTCTCTTTCAGAGCTCCTAAGGATTAATTGGGAGTTAAGTGTTTAAAGAATACTTCATATTATCCTAAAATAAACAGTAGTTATTCATCGATAGCTTTATAAAGCTACAGCATAATAATGAAAACTGTTTGAAGCTGTCAAACATTCACTATATTTGTTTAAATTCACATGCTATTGTTTATTTGAATCTTCCCATTGATGTTTACAACTTTAATTGATCAGTCTCATTGACATTTGTTCATTCTCGATGGATCGCCTCGAAGTCTTAGATTACAAGCATTATAGGCAGAAATGGGCAGTATCTAGCACTGGAATCCAGGACTCACATTTTGTCCTATTCAATACTCGTCAGTTGGATATACAAAATGAATTTAAACTTCATCCCATTGCAAAAGCAAGTGGCTATCTGGAATCATTAGCTAAGTGAATAACGTGATTGTATTTGAAGTGAACGGTTCTGGGTTCGTGTACGAGAGTGAATATCAACTCTGAGGTTCAGGTACATCCGGCCGCATCCTGGATTCCATTGCTAACCACCATCCACCTCTTCTTATAATGTATCTGTTTACTTCTCGTATTTCAGCATAAATATGTTCCTGGAATGTCAGTTCTCAAAACAAAGATGTAGTACTAGTTTACAATAGATTCATTTGGTAAATTATTTTCTTACTTATTTTAGTTCATACTGAATTAAGTTTACACAATATTTGTTAGAAAACAATAACTTTATATATATATGACATTTATAACCATAATGCTTACTGTGCTGGTTTCTCAATTTTAGGCCAATTTGACAAATGACTTGCTGGAGGTGGAAGATATTTTTCTGATTCACCAGATATAGCATTACGTTTAACACGTGATTTAGATATAATTTGTAAATTCATTCCAATCCCTGGTGTCTTGTTATCATTTGTTTCTATTCCATCTGTTGCATTACTGTTAATAACATTTCCAACATTATATTCACTGGTATTATTCAAATTAATAAGTGTACCTGATTTAGAATACTGTAATTTACTAAACGGTAAATCACATTTATTATGAGAATTGCTACTTATAATTGGACTGTTGTTAGTAGTATTAACCGGAGTAGGTGTTATTATTTTCACGTCATTTGTTTTATTATTTTCTCTAGAATAATTTTCATGCTGTTCAACAAATCCAGAAGCATTAGTTTTAAGATATGAATTTCTGTTATATTTATAACGGGATAACTGTCCTGAATCCCATCTTGATACATTAATACTGGGTACATTTGATTTATCATAATGTTTTACAGCTTTATGATACATTTGTAATTGTTTTGATTTTTGACATTCAGTATGAACAGTTTTTGTATGTCCTTCCAACTCATTGATAGATTCATAGTATTCTTCCGGAATATATGATTCAGGAACTTGTTTTATAAGCTGTTGAATCAGGTGATCACGCCTGAATATGATACTCTGCAAGTAACGTATATAAGAGTCTCGTTCAGAAATTTCATTCTCTGCTTCTTTCAGCTGAATATATAATCTGTGTAACTCATCAAGTAATTTGTTACTCCTTTCTGTATCTGTTACCTTACAAGAGTTTCCTTGTCTTGGTGAATGATATAATACAGAATTACAAGATCTTGATAAGTTATTAAGTTCAACGGCATTATTCCAACATTTAGAATATGGAGTGTTCTGCTGACTATGATATGTTTCGTTAGAAGGAGTAGCTAAAGCAACATTTCTTACAGTAGGTATTTTAAAATCAATACAGTCATTTGAAGTACCGTATTGACGTGGTCTACTGCTTTCCATAAGATCATTATGAACTCGTCCAAACTGGTGGTCATTATCACTGAGTATTGGATAGTTATCATATTGACAATGACTGAAATTAGTAATCCCTGACCTACTCCTACTTGATGTTTTTATATTCCTTGGTGATGAGTCATTTATAGACGTCGACAAAATATTTGATTTCGGTGCAGCTTCAAGGCTAATATATGCTATGTCTCTATAACCATGAACAGTTTTTGAATGAGACATTGAGTTTATTTTATCACCTGAATGTAGTTTGTGAATTGTTTTTGATGGTGAACGTTTTTTAACTACTGATCGTGTTATCTCCACATCTTTGATTGATTCATTTGAAGGAAATAATTTCTTATTCTTCATATTATTTTCATGTTTTAATGAAGAATCAGCTTGTTTTGAAGTTGAATTATCGGCAAATGAAATATCCTGTATTCCTGTCTGTAAATCAACACTCCGTGAAAGTATTGAGGGTTTAGTGATTTGTTCTTGCTCTTGTGATGGTTGTTGAAATTTTCGTCCATGTTCTTCGCTTCCCATGGATTTATTTGTTGTATTCAGTTCAGACAACATTGATCCCATTTTAAATTTTTCAACAAGACTTAAACTTTTATTAATAAATGAGGAATTCCTTAGTAATGCTATGTATGAATTAGAGTTATTGTTTGAGCCGAAACTGATTTCAGCTTGATTGGTTGATGATAAGTTAGTAGGTGTGCCAGTTGCATAATTGGAATCTAAATGAGAATTCATGATAATTGGTTGTAGTTCTGAATTCATTTTAACTGATACAGATAAATATCAATAGTAGCATGATGTTACCATATGGTCTAATAAAAGTTGGCTTTTCATGTATATCGTGTTTATATTTAGGGCATCGTCATGAGAACAACCATTATTTTTCTGTTCAAATCAGTCGAACAAAGTATTAACATGAGAGTTTAACAGCGACAGGTCACCATATATAATGACAAGTTTTGATCTTTATATCATTTTAGTAAGATATCTGTTAATCGTAATGAAGTAATTCATTTGTATTGAATTATAATAATTTGTGTCCTCTTCTTTGTTTAATTATGAAATTAGGATAAAAACCAGTCTTCACCAATTGATAAATGAACATTGAATAACCAAATAAAATTTTCAATTTTATGATTGGCCAATTTGAATTCTGAGACTATAACGAAAACAAATAAAACAAATAGAGAATAGTAAATGTTTAATGAGAAAATCACTTTCCTTATAAACGATTGGTAGCTAGTTTTACCTGATATGCATATATGTTTGTAGCCATATATAAATGTGTTATTAATTAAATTAATTTTGGACCAGGCTATAAAACAATTACTCATTTTGTCAACTTTCATCTGATAAAATATATTTTATACTTGAAGTAAACATATAACGCTTTTTGATAGATTTACGTTCAATTATTTTCACTTACCATGATATCGAATGTTTAAGTGTTTGACATAACTGTAATGACTTTATTGAGATGAAAGGTTTATATAGTTTTATCAGTTCGAGAATCGCTCTCCCTCCCCCCCTCACATTTATGTAGACGTCAGTTGGAAAACCATTGAAAAACATGAAGCATTAAGAAATGGTTTCATGCTCTAATAGGATTTTTCAGCAATGTACAACTATGACCACTTACATGATAAAACATTCACAATGTATATCAAACACATTAAATTTAGACCACGGACCAGTAACCGCTTTTTTAACTATTACGATTTAATGGACTTCAAAAAATATAACGTTTTATTGTACAGACATATTCTTGCAGTAAATATAAAAATCAATTGTATGTATATACAATAATACATTTCATAAAAATGAACTGTATAAAATTGAGCTTACTTATCAATATAAGCAAAGATGGATGATGACTAGAATTGGAATTCAGGATGCAAGTTTCACCCTATTCGGAACTCGTCAGACGGATGTACCTGACTCTCACAGTTGATGTTCACTCCGGTACACAAACCCTGTACCGTTCAATTAAAACAACATCAAGTTATCCGCCCAGCTAATAATTCCCTTTAGCCACTTGCTTGTGCAATGGGATGAAGTTTAAATTCATTTTGTATATCCAACTGACGACTATCGAATAAGATGAAACATGAGTCTTGGATTCCAGACAATGTCGAGGCAATCCATTCAGGATGCACATATACCAATGAGACTGATCAATTAAAATTGTAAACATCAATAAGAAGATTCAAACAAACAATACAAAATAAATTTATGCAAATATTTGTTACTAAAATTTAAAAAAACGTAACATGTGCGTAAATATTCTTTCCTTACTATTGAGGAGACTAATTTGTGACAAAATATTTATCTTGTGCTCAGTTTTATTTTAGAATATACCGGTGAATTCTTGACAAAGATTAGTCCCAGCCTATAAAAGTGATTTTAAACTGGAATACGTATTATCACAGATATATAACACTTCCAGCGATTAACTTATGAAACAGTGTAAATCCTGAAATAAATATCATCGCTTTAGTTTGCAGGTTCATGACATGAATCTCAGGAAAAATGGATACAACGTATTCCCAATATAATATGTTATCAGCAGCTAAGTTATGAATACTGATGTCTGAATTTCTCAATAAAGTAAATAAGAAGTATTTACGTTAAGGAAAGTTTTCTCTCTAGCAATCTGATTTCTAACGCAAATAAAATATCAATATCAGAATCCATAGAGAGAACAGTAATGACTAGTAATTTATTGACATTTGAGATAGTGGAGATTTTGATGTAAGTTTGTTCTCTGAGCTGGATGGTTTGGTCGTGGAGGTTTCATCGTCCTTCTGAACGACATCATCAGCACCAACTTCGTGTAATTTGTTTGTGCTGTTGATGTCGTTCAGAAGGACGATGAAACCTCCACGACCAAACCATCCAGCTCAGAGAACAAAACCTCAGAGAACATCGAAATTGACATTTGACAAACTTCTAAAATCAAGCATCGAATTCCCACAGAAATCACATTTTCAAATGTAACCCAATACAGTTTATTTACTGACAGCGTAAATATATCCATTTAGATATGAATATAGGATCTCTGAATATGAATAAATTGCTGTAATACACTTAATCTGCTTTCATGTCATTCTTAACAAATTCCCTTCAAAATGAATACAAGAACTAAGCAAGATAATTTCGTATGATCTCTATCTTCAAAATTAAATTATCGAGCATTCGATTTTCTTTTAAAGATAAAGAACATTTCAATTAGGTTCTTTCCAATCTAAGTTAATTTTCCTTAAATCTTAAAACAATATACAAATTTATAGATGCAATATAACATCTGTTTCTATCTATCATACCTTCATTATTAACTTTAGTCAATTTTTCACTTGTAATTTATAATTTATTATCTAAGTGGATAACGTGATAGCGTTTGAAGTGAACGGTACTGGGTTCGAATCACAGAGTGAACATCAACACTGAGATGCTGGTACATCCAGCTGACGAGTCCTAAATAGGATGAAACGTGCATCCTGGATTCCACTGCTAGCCACTATTCATCTTTGCTTATAAATCTTGTGACTTCAAGCAATATCGAGGCAGTCCGCACAGTATGCACATATGCCAATAAGAGACTGATCAATTGCAGTCCTAAATAACAATGAAAAGACACAATTAAATAATACCATGTGAATTTGTTAAATAAAATGTCTAATAAGCCAAATAATTCGATTTTTTTCTAAAAATCAATTTCAATTCTTATTAGTACTGTCATAATTTACTTTCTTTCTTCTTTTTTGTAATTTTAATATTATTCATTCTTATAAAATCTCCTATGTTTGTTATTATAGAGAAACAAATTGAAGTAGGTCGTTGTTTTCAAGTTCCCTTTTATTAATTTTTTTCAATTAGAGAAAGTTTTATTTTTTCTAAAAAAAAAGGGAAAACGTCTTTTTTTTTCTGCAACCACCAGGAATTAAATACAAGTTATTTTATTAAATGAATAATTTTTTCTGGTTAGCGATTTTTTAGCGAGTTGGTTTTCTACGGGATGGGGTTGCTAATCCCATGCCCAACCCTCCTTCTTTATCCGATTATGGGACCGGCAGTAGCCCATGGAGGAGCTACAGGCGGGGACGTGGAGAACTATGAAAGCCATCATCCAGAAGATACAGGTGTTTATTAACAGTTGTCTAGGCAACATATTTCGGATCCGTTGACCAGACATTATCGGCAACATCCTACTGTAGGAGAGAACAAACTAGATTTCAATGCAGGAAGAAATCAGGAATAAGCGCTGCAAGTGAATATGACACACATTGGGGAAGTCACCCAACTACGACACAAGACAAGACCTCACATGGAATTCTGAAGGCCAAAGGAGAAGAGGAAGACCAAAAAACACACTACACCGAGAAACGGGGACAGACATGAGAAGAATGAACAATAACTGGATAAGACTAGAAAGGAAGGTCCAGGACAGATTGGGTTGGAGAATGCTGGTCGGCGGCCTATGCTCCATTGGTAGTAACAGGCGCAAGTAAGTATTTTATTTATTGTCTTGAAATGAATTTGTTCCATTATTCTAATAAATTAATAAATTTTTTTACCAAACAAAAAAACGGATACCTAATATTACAATCTCATTTTGCTGATCAGTTTTTTATTTTATTTTTTAACAGTTCATTTTAGCTCAGTTTTTAATGGAAAAACTTGGGACACAAAAACTAGTAATAAACTGAACAAAAAAACAACAAAAGAATAGAGATTCATTGAAAAGATTACAATGTGGAATTTTTAGGAGTTTTGTGGAGATTTTAGTAATTTGATAGAGTTGAGATCATGAGTCAATTGCAGCTGGGTTCGAATCTCGCGAGGCGGGATCGTGAATGCGTACTGCTGAGGAGTCTCATAATAGGACGAAACGGCCGTCCAATACTTCCAGGTTTTCCATGGTGGTCTAGATTGAATTAACTCATGATCTCAACTCTATAAAATGTGGAATTTATTAAAAAGAAATTGTAAAGTTCAATTTATCAGAAATGATTAGAAATTTCATATTAACTAATAAATACAAGAACCTAATACATAATAAATAAATTCTATTAGAATAAAGATATAATCTAATGTAACTACTAACAATCATTTATGGCTTAAAAGAAAGAACAATGATTGACACGTTAGCAAAATAAAACAGAAAATTATCAGTATAAGGTTGTGAAAATTGTTGAGTTTCAATTAAAATCATGAATGGATCAATGTTAGACCACTAGATTTTAGTTTCATTTTCAGATGGGACTACTCATGAGTGTGCATCCACGATCCTATGTGTCGGATTCGAACCCAGGACCTTCGGTCTTGCGTATGAACGCTTAACATGTAGACCACCGAATGCACACTGCTAAGGACGAAACCGCCGTCCAGGGCTTCCAGATTTTCATTGGTGATCCGAAATTGATCGATTCATGATCTCAATCAAAACAGAAAATCATGATCACTCTTTTAAGATTATTTTAATAAAGAATAATACTTAAGTAATAATAATCAACTACAACCAATGAAGAAACTGTTAAGGCCTATGTTTAGATACATAAACATTCTTTATTATAATCTTTAAATATGCTGTTATTATATTCAAACACTCGGTGCAATAATCTAACCATTTAATTATTCTGCTTTCATTCTTTATTCAATCCATTGATGTGTTATTTTATTTGATGCTATGGACACATTTTCCATGTATTTTTAAAATCCACTTTCGTGTATAATTTGATTAAATTTTCAAGGAATTTTATTTTGTTTAGGTTTATTAACAATAGCTTTTAGTAAATGTTTTTATTGACAAATCAAGTGATTGTTTGTTTAAACTGAATTGGAATTAGGTCATCAAATCTGATAGAATAATCATTGTGATTGAAAGAAGAAAATCAGTTTTATGATTCATTTACAGCTTCACAATGTGAAACGATCTCACTGATCTGTTCGGGCCCCAAATGACCTTAAAGGGGTTCAAATCCCATTCAAAGCTACGATTTGCTCAAGAGTGAAGGTATAACTTGTTGATTACCTCCAGAAAGCCCAAAACCTGGACCCTGAGATTTCTGTTA